TCTCACAAATCCTGCACACACATTTATCTCTCACTGTAAGATAGTATGTACTTGGTAAATCCCGCTTTGCAAAGACTAATATTATTTGAGTGATAGTACGAAAATCTTTCAATAATTTAATGAATTAGGAGTAAAATAAAACACACGTAAATTTTAAAAAGCACGAATATAATTACCGTATTTTTCAGGATAACGATAAAGTTCCATGCTAATATTGTAAAAGTCGGCGTATATAATATCAACATCAGGATTACGATATCGAATGGTGTGAAGTTGTTGTCGAAGATGTTGATTGTGGTAATCGTCCAATTCATTCATCCAATTAAGGCAACCAGTATCTTTGTTGGGAAAATCCCACTTCCTCCAAAATATTTGATGAATAAACCACCCAAGAATATGGCAAACCCACAGCAACGATCTCCTCTTCTCGCTGCCGACGGAGAACAAACCGAAAAATTCCCTTTCTTTTGCTTCACCTATTCTGCCGAAAAACAAAAGGGAATAAAACAAAAAGAAACCTTTTTCTTTACTGCTCTCTGTGCCGCATCATCTCCCAAGAACAAATATAAATATATATATATATATATATATATATATATATATATATATATATATATATATATATATATATATATATATATATGTTGAAGATTAGAGAATGAATAAAAGGAAATTTGTTTCCTTTCATGCTGCCGCCTCATCAAACATAATACCTAATTCATCCAAAAATTCCTAATTAAATATTATTATATTATATAAATATAATAATAATAATTAGGGCTCAATATGAGAGGAAGTCCAACAAAATATAGTGGATACAAATTGGCTTGGTCCAAACCTGAGCTATTTACCACATAGGAGGGAAGCCCAACCCAACAAATCTCCCCCTCCCGACTATGTGGAAGATATCGCCATCCCGGCGATAGAGCAACAATCCTCAAACTTCCCTCTCGGCAATGCTTTAGTCATCATGTCAGACCCATTATCATCGGTATGAATCTTTTCAAGTTCAAGCATCTTGCACTCTAAGATATCTCTAATCCAATGATATCTCGTGTCAATATGTTTTGACCTGTAATGGAACGTGGAGTTCTTTGCAAGATGAACTGCACTCTGACTATCACAATAGAGCACATACTTGTCTTGAACAAACCCGAGCTCCTGAACAAACTTCTTCATCCATAGCATTTCTTTACTGGCCTCAACAGATGCTATGAACTCAGCTTCAGTGGTAGACAAAGCAATACACTTTTGCAATCTTGATTGCCATGAAACTGCTCCCCCTGCATAGGTAATTAGATAACCTGAAGTAGATTTCCTGGTGTCGATGTCCCCGGCCATATCTGGATCAGTGTATCCGGCAAGAATAGGTTTCTCTGTACCAAAACACAAACTCAGACTTGAAGTACCCCGAAGATATCTAAAAACCCACTTCACAGCATCCCAATGTTCTCTCCCTGGATTTGAGAGAAATCTGCTAACAACACCCACTGCATGAGCAATATCTGGTCTCGTACATACCATGGCATACATCAAACTACCAACAGCTGAAGAATAAGGAACCCTTTGCATTTCTTCATTCTTTTTCTCACCAGAGGCACATTGCTTCTTACTTAACTTGAAATGCATACCAAGAGGTGTATTCACTGGCTTAGCTTTATCCATACTAAATCTCTCAAGTACTTTCTCTATATACTTTTCTTGAGATAACCACAACTTCTTGTTCTGCCTGTCACGAATGATCTTCATCCCAAGAATTTGCTTTGCTGGTCCCATGTCCTTCATAGAAAAGGACTTACTCAACTCTTGTTTCAACTGTTGAATTCTTGAAACATTGCGACCAACAATCAACATATCATCAACATAAAGCAACAATATAACAAAGTCATCATCAGAGAATCTGTTTACAAAAGCATAGTGGTCTGAAGAAGTCTTCTTGTACCCATGCTTACTCATAACAGAAGTAAACTTTTTATACCACTGCCTCGGAGCTTGCTTCAGTCCATACAAACTCTTCTTTAACCTGCAAACATAATCTTCTTTCCCTTTGACTTTGAATCCCTTAGGTTGCTCCATATATATCTCCTCATCTAAATCACCATGGAGAAAAGCTGTCTTTACATCCATCTGCTCAATTTCTAAATACAAACGAGCTGCTAGACCCAACACAACTCTAATGGATGAAAATTTCACAACAGGAGAGAAAATTTCATCAAAATCAATACCTTTCTTCTGGCTAAAACCTTTCACCACCAGTCGAGCTTTGAATCGTGGAACTGAAGTGCCCTCTTCATGTTTCAATCTGTAGACCCACCTGTTCTTCAAAGCTTTCCTGTTCTTTGGTGCCCTTACCAACTCAAAGGTATCATTTGCATATAGGGAATTCATCTCATCCTGCATAGCCTCAAGCCATTGTCTCTTTTGCTCACTCTTCATAGCTTCTTCATAGAACTCAGGTTCTCCCCCATCAGTTAATAGCACATACTGACTGGAAGAGTATCGAGTAGATGGTCTCCGTTCCCTGTTAGACCTTCTAGGAGGATCAACTGGAACCTGCGAAGAAACTTCTTGTTCCTGGTGCACAACATCATCAACATGACCATCCACATCAGCTGTATCATCCTGATTGTCTGGTACAAGATCACCGTTCTGGCCATTCTCTTGAACCTCATCAACATCATGTGTATCTTCGCTGGAAACTGGCTCACAGTCAACCAAACTTCCGCTGTCTTGAGATACTGGCTTTCTCACTTTGTCAACATCTTCAATGGTTTGATCTTCAAAGAACACTACATCACGGCTTCTCACAAGCTTCTTCTCAACTGGATCATACAGCTTGTAGCCAAATTCATCAAGACCATAACCAATGAAAATGCACTGTCTAGTCTTCGAGTCCAATTTAGATCTCTCATCTCTTGGGACATGCACAAACGCCTTGCAACCGAAGACTCTGAGGTGATCATAAGAAACTTCCTTTCCACACCAAACCTTATCAGGAACTTCATTATTCAAAGCAATAACGGGAGATAAGTTGATAACATGAACAGCTGTGGAAACTGCCTCAGCCCAAAATGAACTAGGCAACTTTGCATCATCAAGCATACATTTGACTCTCTCCATAATTGTCCGATTCATCCTCTCTGCTAAGCCATTTAATTGAGGAGTTTTATGAGGAGTTTTCTGATGTCTAATACCGTGCATTTTGCAATACTCATCAAATGGGCCACGATACTCACCGCCATTGTCAGTACGGATGCACTTCAATTTCTTCCCTGTCTGTCTCTCAACAAGGGCATGAAACTCTTTAAACACACCAAACACATCACTTTTGTGCTTCAAAGTGTAAACCCAGAGTTTCCTAGAATAATCATCAATGAAGGTCACAAAGTAAGATGCACCTCCAAGTGATCTAACCTTCATTGGTCCACACACATCAGAATGTATCAACTCAAGTGGCTCCGGCTTCTTCGAAGGAGAATTGCTCATAAAAGAAACTCTTTTCTGTTTCCCTGCCAGGCAATGAACACATCTGTCCAATCTAGCTTCCTTTACTCCTGAAAGCTTCTTCTTCTTGGCAAGGTAATCAATCCCCTTCACACTCATGTGGCCAAGTCGTTTATGCCACAATTCTGATGCACATTCTTTTGCTGCCACATTCACTGAATCACCAGAAATAGAGCTTTGTAAAGAGTACAAGTTAGAAGACTTGTTACCTCGTGCAATAACCAGCGAACCTTTAGTGATTTTCCAATGTCCATCACCAAAGAAACAACAGAAACCATCATCATCGAGTTTTCCTGTAGAAATGAGATTTAGTCTGATACCCGGTGCATGCTTTACATTTTTAAGTTCCAGCTTTGTGCCATTGCTGGTCTCAAGACAAACTGTACCGGTACCAATCACCTTCACCTGACCATCATCACCCATTCTTAGCTCTCCAAAGTCACCTGGAGTATATGAAGTAAAGAATTCCTTCCTTGGTGTAACATGGTAAGATGCGCCTGAATCTACAATCCAAGTTGTCTCATGGCATGCAACGTTGACGGCGTTCTCATCACAAGCAAGAAGCAAATCTGCTCTAACTGTTTCAACCTGGTTCTCTGTGTGATCATCTTTCTTGTCTTGCTTCTGTTAACATTCAACATCCTTGTGCCATGACCTTGACTTACTTCTGCTTTTATCTCTACCCTTCTGACCCCTTTGTTTGTTTCTCCCCCTATCATTTGTAACCAAAATATCTGACTGAGAAGTGGAGGTGTCTTGAGATCTTCTTCTTGACTCTTCATTCAAGATACCACTCTTGACATACTCCATGGTCACAACACCGTTGGGAGCAGAATTGGTCAAAGAAACCCGAAGTGTTTCCCAAGAATCAGGTAGAGTGTTAAGCAACCAGAGACCAAGTACCTCATCCTCAAATTTGATGCCCATGCTAGACAACTGATCAAGAACACCCTGAAAATCATTGACATGATCATTGATCAATGTACCTTCCCTGAATCTTAGATTCATCAATTGTTTTAGCAAAAACAATTTGTTATTGCCTGTCTTGGAAGCATACAGGGTCTCAAGTTTATCCCACAGGCTTCTGGCATGTGTGTCGTTGATAATGTGATTCATAACATTATCTTCAACCCATTGGCGAATATAACCACAAACTTGTTGGTGCTCAAAGTCCCACTCTTCGTCTGACATGCTTTCTGGCTTTGCAGTTGCAAACACAGGTAGATGTAATTTCTTCACAAATAGAAGATCCTTCATCTTGGCCTTCCAAATATGATAATTTCTACCATTCAATCGTACCATATTACTCATATTTGTCTCCATGTCAAATGTACCCAATCAACAACCTGGGCTCTGATACCACTTTGTTGGGAAAATCCCACTTCCTCCAAAATATTTGATGAATAAACCACCCAAGAATATGGCAAACCCACAGCAACGATCTCCTCTTCTCGCTGCCGACGGAGAACAAACCGAAAAATTCCCTTTCTTTTGCTTCACCTATTCTGCCGAAAAACAAAAGGGAATAAAACAAAAAGAAACCTTTTTCTTTACTGCTCTCTGTGCCGCATCATCTCCCAAGAACAAATATAAATATATATATATATATATATATATATATATGTTGAAGATTAGAGAATGAATAAAAGGAAATTTGTTTCCTTTCCTGCTGCCGCCTCATCAAACATAATACCTAATTCATCCAAAAATTCCTAATTAAATATTATTATATTATATAAATATAATAATAATAATTAGGGCTCAATATGAGAGGAAGTCCAACAAAATATAGTGGATACAAATTGGCTTGGTCCAAACATGAGCTATTTACCACATAGGAGGGAAGCCCAACCCAACAATCTTCATCATAATCTTCCTTGTTGCTACTCTCAAAATCAGTGAGGACACTGGCTAGACAACCATCTGGAGACGTGCTGGGCACCATGATTGTCTTTGCGCCAAGTTCAATCAAATCCTACATTTTTTAATTTATTATTAAAGTATAATTCAAGTGAGGGCGTAAAAAAATTAGGATAAATATAAAATTACTAGAGAATGAGAGTGTAAAAAAAAAATCACTGAAAGAATAAAATTTGTGTTTATAACATATATATACGATATAAAAAATAATTTTGAGTATAAAGAGCAAAATTATTAACTTGTACAATGTCTCCTAGGCCTATCTACACCACTTTGTTAATTTATTGTTCTTTTACTTGTGAATGGTACTTAATTTTTTTTATTTTTATTTTTGTTATGATGAGTAGTGTGATGGTAAATAAAACACATATATGCATACAATAAAACATCACAAATATGTTCTTAGTTCTTACATTGATGGCATCGCTAATTGCACCGATAACTATAGGGACATATGATCTTATTTCTTCTATATCTTTTCCTTGTAAAAGTCCATTACGATAGTCATTACTCCCAAATGGTCCCACCACAAATAGTGAGCTTTTTAGCCTCTCGTGACATTCTGAAACACATACAATTCTCATGTTAATAATAATAATTATTATAATTTTTCACTAATATAGAAAAAAGTTAGGCAGTTAACTTATTTATTATGAGGTGTGCGTGCATAATATAATATCCAGGCACAAGTATATACCTGATGGTGAGCCACAGAAAAATGGCAACAGTTCTTTGAGCCATCCCATCTGAACTCTGAGGGAGCAATTCGTATTGGGATTGTTTATCCCTCTTTCTTCATAGAACGCCGAGTCGACTGTAGCAGCTCCGGCGACCGCGAAATTCACACCTCCCTCAATATCCGACCCGTTTATGCCGCCGTTCATCATAACACCAGCTGATGGAGGCATATATGGCAGTCCGTAGTACTCCGCTGCAACATGTGATTTACGTTAAAGTTCCATTTTGTAAATTAGCCGAGTAAACAGTATGTCGTTGTAGCAGCTCAGTCGATTCTTGGAAAACAGATTATGAGCAAGTATATGCCATGCAACATATATGTTGGAGAACTTAGAGCATGATCTCAGGATATGGAAGAGAGAATGCTTGAACACAGAACATGAGTGCTGATTGATGGAAGAAGTCTATTGAAAGTGGGAGAAAGAATACAAAAGAACTAACTTCACCAGGAGGGAAATATCACCCCTTAAGTATGGTGGCAGAAGCAGTTATAACAGAAAAAGAAAGGAAAATACAAGTAAGTCCTTAGACTATTGGTTTACTCTTTTTCAGCATGCTTTATCATCTCATTAGCAGCATGCTTCATCACCCCCCGTAAGCTGGAGCGTAGATGTCTCGAAGCCCCAGCTTAGAATGGAAAATATCAAAGCTCAATTTAGGCAGGGCCTTGGTGAATCCATCAGCAATCTGCTGTTGTGAAGGTATGGGCATCAACTTGATCTTCTTTTCACATACCTTTTGCTTGACTATGTGACAATCTATTTCGATGTGTTTGGTGCGTTCATGAAACACATGATTTTCCCCAATAGCTATAGCTGATTGATTGTCACAGAATAAAGAAACTGGCTGGCCATGTTTCAGTCCAAGGTCTGCTAGAAGATACAATAACCATTGAATTTCACATGTTGTTGAGGCTAGGGCCCTATATTCTGCCTCAGATGATGACCTGGACACAGTAGCTTGTTTCTTTGTCTTCCATGAAATTAGGGATTCCCCAAAGTAGATGCAGTAACCAGTGATAGATTTTCTTGTTTCTGCACATGTTGCCCAGTCTGAATCAGAGAACCCTTGCAGTTGTAGTTGAGAATGAGCTGGGAAGAACAAACCTTTTCCAGGGGCTCCTTTAAGAAACCTTAAGACTCTGTGGGCAGCCATAAGGTGTGTGCTTCTAGGCTTATCCACAAACTGGCTTAACTGCATAGGAGATTTCTGGCCTGGTATTTGTTAAGTAGAGAAGTCTACCAACCAACCTTCTATACTCTTCAGGCTTGTCAAGAAGATATCCTTCCTCATTGTTGAGTTTCTGACCTGCTGTTATGGGTGTTTGAGCAGGCTTAGCATCCAAAAAACCATGTTCTTTTAAAATCTCCATAGCATATTTTCTTTGGCACAAGTTGAGGCCATCAGGAGTTCTAAAAGCTTCAATACCAAGAAAGTAGTTCAATTGGCCTAGATCTTTTATTCTAAAAGCCTTGTCCAGATTTTGTTTCAACTGAGCAATCTGGTTGAGATCATTTCCTGCCACTAGAATGTCATCAACATATATAAGTAAGGCAATGAATGAAGTATTTGAGCTTTTAGTGAATAGAGAAGGATCTGATGAAGATTGCTTGTAGCCATTGTCTTTTAAAGCCATTGTCAACTTTGCATTCCATTGCCTGCTAGCTTGTCTTAAACCATACAAGGATCTCAATAGTTTGCAGACCTGTTTTGGCTTATCATTCTGGAAACCAGGAGGCATAACCATATATACTTCCTCCTCTAGATCTCCATGTAGAAAAGCATTGTTAATGTCAAGTTGTTGGATGTCCCACCCCTTTGCAACAGCTATGGCCAGAAAAGTTCTTATTGTTGTCATCCTAGCCACAGGAGAAAATGTTTCCATGTAATCTACCCCAAGCTGTTGGGTGTAACCCTTGGCAACCAGCCTTGCTTTGTGTCTTTCTATGGAACCATCAGCCTTATATTTCACCTTATAAACCCATTTGCATCCAATAGGAGTTTTCCCTGCTGGCAAATCTGTGAGAATCCATGTCTTATTTTCAATTAGAGCTTTAATTTCAGACTGCATAGCCTCCCTCCAAGCTTCAACTTTTACTGCTTCATTATAAGTTTGGGGTTCATGTGTGGAGAGAATAGATGCAGCACATGCCCTATGACTAGGGGGCAGACAATCATAGGAAATTACATTGCTGATAGGATGTGGAGAAGTTCTGACCTTGGATTTGCTATTTGAGTGGCAAAAGTAATCCTGTAATCTGGCAGGAATGTTTCTTGTTCTCTCTGACCTTCTAGGTTGTGCTTGGACAGAAACTTCTTCCCCTTCGTTGATAGAATCTTCTTGCCCTTCATTCTCTTCTGGAATAGATTCATCATGCAATCCAGAATGTATATCACTTCTTATGTTATCATCAGCTTCCATAGTCTCCTCACTGTGAAGAGAGATATGATCATCATTTTGTACTAGAGGTGTGATGTCAATGTCAGTGGAGATGGGTACTAGAGGTAAGGGAGGATTGAATGTCTCAGCTTCAGGAGAATCTGACCCTTTTGTTGGATGGCTTTCTTTTAGAGGGTATATGTGTTCATAGAACTTGACATCTCTGGAAATAAACACTTCCTTGTCAAGAATATCACACAAAATATAACCTTTCACATTAGCAGGAATCCCCAAAAAAATGCACTTCCTAGCTCTAGGTTGCATCTTATTCCTTCTTTGTGAAATTGTGGATCCATAACACAAGCATCCAAAAACTTTGAGCTGATTATAATCCACATTCTTCCCAAATAAGATTTCAAAGGGATTTTTGTGATCATTCTTGACTGTAGGCAATCTGTTGATCAAATAGGAAGCATACATAACACAATGACCCCAGTATTCAATTGGTAAACCAGCTTGGAACCTAAGAGCCCTGGCTACATTCAGTATGTGTTGATGTTTTCTTTCTGCAATGCCATTTTGCTGGGGGGTGTACACACATGATTTTTGATGTGAAATTCCTTTGTCATTGCAGAAGCTACTCATCATAAACTCAGTGCCATTATCAGTCCTTATAGCTTTAATTTTTGTGTCAAACTGAGTATCAACATAGCTATAGAAGTTCTGAAATAGAGTTTTTACCTCTGATTTGCTTTGCATTAGGTGTAACCAGGTAAATCTACTGTGATCATCAACAATTGTTAAGAAATAGTGTTGTCCTTTTAAAGATGCAACAGCAAAAGGACCCCAAACATCCATATGTAATAAGTCAAAGCAATTTTCAGCTCTAGAAATACTGATAGGAAAACTAGACCTCTTGTGTTTGGCAAAATGACAAGCATCACAGGCAAAATTAGCTAGTTTGTAGAAGTGAGCATCTTTTATTCCATTCAGAGAATGTATTCTGTTCACAGGGTAGTGACCTAGTCTATAATGCCACAATTGTAAAGATAGACTATTACATTCAATGGTCCTATCAATTTCAGCATGCTTCCTTCTAGGAGGGGGTTGAGAAATCAGGTACAGTCCATTCTTCTCTTTAGCAAAACCATCCACTATCCCATGAGGACCCTGAATGGTGCAAGAATCAGTGTTCATAATAATTTTGCATGTCCCTTGTTTTGTCAACTTGCTAGCAGACACAATATTAAAGGTGAAAGAAGGGATATGTAACACATTGCTCAACACAAGGCCTGAATGGAGTCTAATGTTTCCTATATGTGTGACATTCACATTTTCTCCATTAGGTAGTTTAACAGATATTCCATCTACTTTGCAGTGGCTGTCAAAGTATTCTAAAGAGCAAGCAATATGATCTGTGGCACCTGAATCAAGTATCCATATAATATCTACTGCATTGTTAATATGAAGGTTAGAAATAAACTTGCCTTCAGTAGAGCCTTCAAGACTGTTTTTGAATTCAGTTCTCACCCCAGTATTGTGCATAGTAACAGCAGCATTAGAAGATGACTTGTTTGCTTGGCCTTGGTTCTGCAGAAGAGTCACAAGTCTCTGAAATTGTTCTACAGTCATTCCTATGTCTCCCACTTGATTCACAGAGGAATTTGGGACATCTTGACTCTGTTTGTTCTTAGATTTGTAACCTGCAATCCAGCCTGCAGGATATCCATGTTTTTATAACATCTCTCAATTGTATGACCAATCATATTGCAATATGTGCACTTAGGCACATTCTTGCCTCCATTGTTGTTGAACCTTTTCCTGTTGTTTGGACCTGAGAAGGCTGCAACACTTTGTTCATCTAAGGACTGATTCTGATCAGTTTGAACAGCATTTGAGTGAGCTGGTTCAATACTTTTTTGGCTGATAGTTCCATTGAGTTTTCTCTCTATTTTCAAAGTCATATTCAGAACTTTTTCCATGTTAGGGATTGGATCCATGACAAGGACCCCTGACTTCACAGATTCATACTCATCATTAAGTCCCTCTAAGAATCTTATGACTTGATCATCTTGTTTCTCCTTCAGAATTTTATTCATCAATGTGCATGAACACTTAGGGACACATTCACAGACAGGCAGGGGTCTCATAGCACTCATTTGTCCCCAAAGAGAATTACACTTTGTAAAATATTCATTAACACTTTTGTTACCTTGCACGTTTGTAAAAATCTGATTCTGGATTTCAGCAATTCTGTGAGGATCTGCTTGTGAATACCTCTTGCTGAGTGCACTCCAGATGTCTGATGCAATGTCAAAGTAAAGAACACTCTCTGCAATGGTGGAATTGATCGACTTCATGATCCAGGCACAGACTATCTTGTTACACCTCATCCACACGCCATATTTTGGATCCAATGTTCCTGGACATGGCAAGGATCCATCAACAAAGCCGAATTTGTTTTTGATCTCAAGAGCTATCTTCATAGATCTGCTCCATGAAGTGTAGTTAACTTCGGACAAAAGAGGAGATACGAGAACCAGATTTGGATTCTCTGTAGCATGTATGTAGTAAGGATCATCAAGTTCTTCGTTCCTTTGATTCAGATTCTGATTTGTTGGAGTCTGATTCACAGGAATGGCGTCTTGTCTGCTAGAATTTCCTTCGTCTGCTCCAGTATTCATCGTGACCACTGCTGCGTAGCTTCGATGAAGCTCTGATACCATGTTGGAGAACTTAGAGCATGATCTCAGGATATGGAAGAGAGAATGCTTGAACACAGAACATGAGTGCTGATTGATGGAAGAAGTCTATTGAAAGTGGGAGAAAGAATACAAAAGAACTAACTTCACCAGGAGGGAAATATCACCCCTTAAGTATGGTGGCAGAAGCAGTTATAACAGAAAAAGAAAGGAAAATACAAGTAAGTCCTTAGACTATTGGTTTACTCTTTTTCAGCATGCTTTATCATCTCATTAGCAGCATGCTTCATCTATAAGCCGAATATAGAGCTATTAGTATATAAAGTGCAGCAAGCACGTGTTATTCATTTTGTTTCAGTTGATTTTTAAGTGACAGATCGCGGACAAATGTATATAATATAGTGTAATGCATATATAAAGTATATATAATTACCTATAAAATCTATGATGAGACGACCATCGGAACAACGGCCGGTGGGATGATGAAAGAAGGTTTCTCCATAAGGATAGGCCATGTGAAGGTCATTAGCAGGATCGTCTGAGAGAATAACCCGGTTTCCTACGTCTGTAAGTGAGTCGCCCAATGCGAAGATGGATGTGTAGCATTCTGCGGTTATGCGGCATGGAATTATGAGTAAGAGTAAGAAGAGGAATAAAGTTGAAATGGCGGAGTTGAATTTCACGACACGATTTGGGTATGCCTGCGCCATATGGGAAATGTGTGGCAACACCATAGTATGTTGACCGTTTATATAGGAATTGTGGTAGGAATCACGCCAAAAAAAAAAAAAAAAAAAAAAACACTCAAACATATCAAACATATCAAACAGAAAAGGGTTATACACCTCTAAAACTTTAAAAAAGTTTAATTAAAAACTCAAACATATCAAATTCAATTAATGAAGCCTATAAACCGGTAAATGACATGTTATTACAGGTTATTTCAATTCTGACGACGGATTCCGGCCATCGGTGACAAATTACGGCCACCGGCCACAATTTCCAGCCGTCCGGTCGTCTTCCACTGGAGAAGACGACCGGATGACAGCCTTCTCCAGTGGAGAAGACGATCCAGACACGATCCAGATTAGATCTAGATTGTCTTCTCCATTGGAGAAGACAGCCGACGGCCGTCTGGTCGTCTTCTCTAGTGGAAGACGACTGGACGGTCGGAAATTATCACTGGTGGCCGGAATTCGTCACCGGTGACATGTTTAAGTGTTTAATTGAACTTTTTTAAAATTTACGGGCCTAATTGACCTTTGGGGTAAAGTTTCAATCGTTATGCCATGGAACGGTGTTCACCATGATCCCAAACGGTAACGGTGCCCAGGCACCGTTATCTTCCACCAATCTTCTTCTTTTTTTTTTTTTTTTTTTTTTTTTTTTTTTTTTTTTTTTTTTTTTTTTTTTTAATTAACAACGCGACTTTTCTTTTTCATATTCACATTTTGCGGTTTCGATTACTTTCTCTTCGCGCAAGTTTCTTCAACACTCATAAACTATGAATGTGCAATTATGAAATTATGAATTTTCTTTTATGAGATTATGAATTTTCTGTTATGAAATTATGAATTTTCTTTTATGAGATTATGAATTTTCTGTTATGAAATTATGAATTTTCTTTTATGAGATTATGAACTTTCTGTTATGAGGTTATGAATGTACAGAAAATTCATAATTACATAACTATAAATTCATAATCTCATAACAGAACATTCATAATTTAATAAATGTAAATTCATAATATGAACATAGAATGCAAAACGCCGTTAACAACACATTAACTAAATTTTTTTTTCCAGTAAAAACGATGTCGTTTGGGACCATGTTCACCAAGCATGGTGAACACGTTTTCACAGTTTGCGTTAAAGTTTAAGGGTCTATTTGACCTTTTCTCAAACACAAATAAACATTAAAAAAAAGTCACGTGTTTTGGTAATAATTTTCGTGTGCACAATCAGTCATTAGAAGCTGTATAATCAAACATTAAGAATTGCACAAAGTAGATACTTTACAATATGTTTTTATAGTAATTTTAGTATTTTACAGTTGCACAATCAATCACTATTACAAGTTACACAATTAAATATTACTAGTTGCACAAAGTAGTAATTCAGACGAAAAGTCTAGTTCTCATTTACTTTTTACTTATTTTTCACTTCTTATCACCTAATAATTTTTAATTCATTTAAAAGCGAATTACAATTTTATTCATTTTTTTCCCAGGTTCAAAGGTTTGTATTTTCTAACAATTGTAATTTAAAAAAAGAAAAAAGAAAAAAAAAAGACCTAACCCAAATTTTTAAATTTTGTAAAAAAAAATTACAACATAGTATCGTGTGTTTCTATATATATATATATATATAGCCCTTCGTAGAATCCTCTTGAACACTGATATGAGAAATCCCAAATTAAAGCAGTAGAGATGCAGTAGAATAGATCACGTACCAAAGAGATTAAAACTTGTAATAATTGATGTTGTTTTCAAACTGTCTTCTCACGCCACTTAAATACAAGGATCACTTTATTCATTTCTGTACATTATGTGTAAGGATTATATACATAGAATAAATTAAAATTTTATGTTGAAACATGAGAAACGAAAAATTACGAAATCTGTTAAAACTTAAACATCAAACGACGTCGTTTTGATCTAGGGTCTACAATGTTATGTGGATCGGATCCTGATCTACGATATAAATTGCTGTGGCGAGACTATATCTTGTAAAAAGTTAAATTTATGTAATTCATAATTATAGATTTACAATTTCTAAGCTTAACAGTTAACACTATTGTTTTTTTTTTTTTTTTGAAAATCAATGGCTTAATATATTAAATCAAACCCGAGATACACAAAGTCGGGATAGTTTCACACACACTAAGGACAGAAGCTGAACCAGTTACCCACGCAAGCACATGAGCCATTTGGTTCGCTGACCTTTTGACATGGCGAATCAACATAGTCCCAATGTCATAAGCAATTAACTGACATTGCTTTACTATCATACCTACATAGGAAAGTCTTGTTTATTCGAATTAAAACTACTGCATAAATTGAGACAGTCAGACTTCAGCACTAACATGATCTCTGAACAGGTCTTGATCCACGAAAGTGCTTCCTTAAATGCCAATGCCTCCGCTAAGTATGGCTCTCTCACCCCTAGTAGCCACCCGCGCCGGCATATGCCGCCATGAAACGTCGGTCGTGATTTCGAAGGACCACCGTACCCCATATGCTGCACCATGATCATGAATTGAAACGTCAACATTGCCTTTAACATAACCTGAAGGTGGCGGGACCCAATCAAATCCCAAATCTGCTTGGACAGTTAACAAGTTGATTAATGCTCACCGGTTTTCAAAAAAAAAAAAATTAATGCTCACCAAGTAATTGTACAATTTTTTATAACTACGACATTTGTACTAATATAATGAAATAAAATTTAAATCCAAAAAATCTTTTTCAAACAATAAAATCTGAACAACTATGAGTGGTTGGTAGATTTCAACACTCATAGTAACATCAGGAGCAAACGAATCGATTTTAAGAAATGTGTGAGTGTATCATGTCTTGAATTAACCATGAAATTACTGACTGATATTTTGAGATTTTTTTTTTTTTGAATATTTTGTGAAGAATTCCCACATCACCTCATGCACTCTAATGCTTAATTGCATGTCCTAACAGCCTAGCTTGTATGTGTTTAATTACTCTCTCTATCCAAAACATGTTATCATAGGTCACACTTATGTGAGACCATCTCACACATCCTTATTTGTGAGGCCGTCTCATAGACCATTATCTATGAGTTAGGTCGGGTCATGTTAGGTCAATACGAAAATGTAATACTTATACTAACAAATGTAATACTAATTACGAATAAAATATTTGTTTTTACTTGTATGAAAAAAACGTAATACTTTTGAGAACACATATAAGTGTAAAAGTGTTACTTTTTCATCAAAAGTATTACAATTTCTCTCTTAAGTAATCTTGACTAGTGTTTGTTACTTATAAAGGCAAATGTTATATATACGTACTTTTGAAGAAAAATGTAATACTTTTAAATCAAAATGTAAAAGTATTACATTTTTTTCAAAAGTATTACATTTTCCCAACATTTATTCTTAATTTAGTATTAAATTTTGATTATTTTCCAATATAAGTAATAAACATTTATTCTTGATTTAGTATTATATTTTCCAATATAAGTAATAAACGTTTATTCTTGATTTGAGTTAATACCAGTCAAGGTCCCTCGAGTATAGTGGTTCCACCACCTATGGTCCTAAACTTTCAAATCAACCCTCCGTGATCCTCCAAGTTTAAAAAATGACCTGCCATAGTCTTTCCGTTAGTATTTTCCGTTTCAGCCGTGAAATGCGAGGACAAAACTGACTTTTCACATTTTTCTCACAATGCGGAGGAGGCGTCTGTGTCAGTGGGGATGAAGCGTGCGACAACCAGAACTCCGGTGGCAAAAGAAGCAGAAGGAATGGTTGAGACCATTCGCCGGCGTGAATGTAGCCACCTGAAGAAGTAGAAGGAATGGTCGGGACTTGGGACCGTTCGCCGTTTAATCCAATCATTGTTCTCCACGGGCCGTCGGATGGCGGCGAAAGAGGTGAAAGAGGAAGGTGGTTTGAGTTGTACTATGACGATGAGGCGGGGGCGGGATTGAGGCCGTTGCCGGCGAGTATGTCAGAGTTTCTACTCGGGTCGGGTTTCGACCTCATGTTGGATCAGTTGACCCAAATTGAAGCGAACGACATTGGATGAATCGAAAATCCATCGGCGTCAAAAGTGGCGATCAAGTCAATGCTGATATCGAGATCGCCGATCAAGTCAAAACCGGTGGTCGCACGAAGAAACGCTCACTTTGCTCATGATTCGCTCTGAAATGGACCTTGCATTTCGTGATTCCACCCTCAAATGCCCTCTCTGGATGAAGTTTCAAGGTAGGATTCCATATCCCATCTCTCTACTGGGATTTTCTTTCAATTTCACCATTTTTGTCCTTTTTTTTTATTTGCCTTTTCTGGAGCATTTCAGAAAGCTGTAATCAAGGTAGCATATGAAATTTTTTAACTTGTCATGATGTGTTGGAACGATGCGCTTTAACATCTACTATTGTTTTTTTGTTCACAAATTCTTGAAATACAAACATTTAGAAAGTGGTCGGCGATGATAAAGCCCAACACCAACATAGTGCAGAACGCGGTCTCACAGCGGCTTTGGCGCCGCAGCCTCTGTACTGTCGGCGTCAACGTCGACGACTTACTCGTCTGGGATCGAGAAGTAAGAGGATTTGTAGAAGAAGTTTCTGGAAGCCATAGAACGGTGCGAGACGAGAGAATGACGATTGCAGAAGATCTCAAAACAACCCATCCTCGTGAAAGGTCGATTATGCCCTCATATTTCACAGCTGAAACGGAAAACACTAACAGATGGACTATGGCAGGTCATTTTTTAAACTTGAAGGATCACAGAGGGTTGATTTGAAAGTTTAGGACCATAGGTGGCGGAATCACTATACTCGAGAGACCTTAGTTGGTATTAACTCTTCTTGATTTAGTATTAAAGTTTTCAATATAAGTAATAAACATTTATTCTTGATTTAGTATTAGATTTTTCAATATAAGTATTACATTTCATATTGACCCGACCCGTCTCACGCACATATTCACACAAATTTTTACCATTATCATTTTGTGCATTGACAAAATAATATTCTAGATTTTTTTTTTTTTTTCAGCTAACGCGTGTGGTAGATAAATTACTCCGTAATAGTTTCAAAGTTTATTGCGTGTTTATATTTGTTACCCTGATAGTCAATGTCGTAACGGTGGCTAATCTGTAGACAATAAAATCTAATACACATCAAAATTAAATTAGAAAGTTGAAGACGGAAGTTGGATGTGGAAAGACGAATACATTCATTTGGATGATGCATCCACCACATATTAGACTAAATTAATTAGAAAATGATTTGTATACTTATCAAATTGAAGAAAAATCTTTTAAAAAACTTTAAAAAAAAAACTTTGACGTTAATCATAATATTATGGGGTTAGAATGGGTGTTGAGAAATGATTGTGGATGTTTTTTGGCTGCTAAGGGTGTTTGCATGAGTGGGCATTATATGGTGACTGAGGCAGTGTGTGTTCGTGAAGCTCTAAGTTGGTTGAAAGGAACTGGTATGGGAGAAGTTGATGTAGAGACAGATTCTCAATTAGTTGTTAATGTTTTGTTTTATGACTCTTTTAATTCTTCATTTGGTTTTATTATTGGTGATGTAAAAGAAGTTGCATCCTTGGTACATGATGTAAACTTCTGTTTTGTGAAACTATCTGCGAATCGGTCTGCCCATGTTGTAGCTAGGAAGGCCCTTTCTTTGTCAGGTTGTGGGGAACGGTTGGATAACCCTCATCTGTTTCTTGTGGATTGTCTTTTCTCTGACTTAATGAATTAAGTTCTTTTTTGCAAAAAAAAAAAAAAAAAAAAAAAAAAAAAAAAAAAAAAAACAAGTGAGGATGGACCCGATAGGTGATCAAATGGGTGAAGTATGATTCTTGTAGTTAGATTCTTGCTAATATCTTTTCGGTTGAATCCTTCGCACGAGATCTTCCTAATGTTTATCCTCGGGTAGTGATTGTAGGTTTTCTTCATCATCCGAAAGTGAGGACTGAGGAGGGTCAAATAAATTTTTGAAGTTTCTAAAAAAATGCAATTAGATCATTAGATTGATCTAAATTGTTGGGATTTTATTTTCAAAATTATTTAGTAGTTAGTCATGACTGAGTAAAAAGAAACAAGATAAAGATTATGTTTGGTAAAATTTATTATAGAGTTTATAGTTTATTTTAAGATACAAATAAGTTAAAAGTTCTGTTTGATAAAATATAGAGTGTTTAAAATAATAGTTTATTTTGAATTAGCTTATACGTCATGTATGTTTTTTTTTTTTTTTTTTTTTTTTTGGGTAGAGATACGTCATGTATGTTAAACAAAGCCAAAGTTACCTTCTTCATTAGACTAGGATGAAGAATGCCTTTTAATTTTCCTCTAAATGGACTTGGAAAACGTCAAGTACGAAAAAGAAGCCATGACTACCGTTGTTGTTAAGATTTGACACTCAAAGGCTGTTGACATTTGCTACCACTGCACACGATTATTATATCTATGATATTAGATAAACTAGATCTAAATGTTATTTGCATTCAAAAAAAGATCTAAATGTTATTTGTGCACGGTGTTTATATACATTAGTCACTCATGAACTAACGGACTTCATCACAAGTTGATTAAATAAATTTATATAATAAGCATGTGAAGAACTCTGATCTGTATGCAAAACTCTGTGCACTTAGCATTGTGTGTCTGTGTTTTCTTTTTTCCTATTTTGTTTATGAATTGTCATTGTGTTGAAGCAGTACTCTTGGGGCCATGATCTATTTATGATTTGTAAAGTTATTGTGTTGTCATTTCTTATCAAGCAGATGAACTACCCAACCTTGATGTAAGCCGTTATATTGGGATCCACATGAAAAAAATAGTTTATCAAAATTTGTCACATCGACTCATCGAGGAGTAAAATTGAGGGAGTAAAATTTGAGAGTACTCTGTAGAACTCTTTTTATAATTCTAAACGGAAAAATACTATATGTACTTCAATTTTCTACTCTCAACTTATACTCTCACACACACAAAATCTTGATGTAGACATTTGTATTGGGACCCACATGAAGAGAGTAGCTTATCAGAGTGCGCCACATCAAGGAGTAAAATTTAGGGAGTAAGATTTATTTGTGTTATATATGTATTTTTTTATTTTGTTAAATACTTATATTTAAAGTTTGTATTATTAAATATAAATTATACCATTTTAAAGATCTCATTGAGACGATCGAAACAAGACTAATATTGAATATATATTAATTAAAATTTCAAATACATCAAACATAACTAGAACATAATAAAAATTAAAATACATACGACATAATATTGATATTAGAAGCTCATTATGCACTCTGTAATGCATTGATTGAGCATTTGTGAAAACGATATAGTAATTATGATAATTCAATGTACTAGATATTTTATGTTGTATTATTATTGTGAAATAAACTAAAATTTTAAAAATATTGTTAAACTCGATTTTTTAAATAATTAATGTTATGAAAAAATTAATGTTAATAAAAATTACTATTTACTTCACTAGTTATATTTTATATGAAACTAATTAAGTTCGATCTAAATTATATTAAACTAATTAAATTCAAAGTAATAATTAAAAAATCAAATTATTTTAGTGTAGAAATTTGGTGTAACGGGTTGGAGATGAATAAAATTTGGTGTTTTAGTGTAAGACCATTTCCAACCCATTACACCAAAAGGAATATTCTCAGCATATTCCTACACCAAATTTATTCATCTCCAATTCATTGCACTAAATTCAATTTCTACATTAAATAATTTGTTTTCTCATAAATTAAAACTTTAAATTTTTTAATAAAATTTATCACAAATCCAATGGTGCGTGAGTCTATTAGGAATGAACAACTACAAATTGTTGTAAAGAGAGCTAATGAGCGAGGATGGGTAGAATCAAGTAGTCAATTTAATCAATATTTGATGATTTGGGAGCAAATGGGGGTGGCCTTGGAAACTATTAATTCTAAGTATGTTTCGTTTAATTTCGGATGTATTCAGTTTAATATTATGAAAATTATGTTTTATGTAATTTAATTAATTTTTAATTAATCTATATATAATATTAGGCTTGTTTAAGCGTTTTGATGAAATCTTTCAAATGGTATAATTTATTTTTAATTATTCAAATGTTATGTTTATGTATTTAATAAAATATGTAATCCATAAAAACAAAATAAGAATGCAAAAGGAATTAATAATTAAAAAAAAAAGGACAAAGGGCAAAGTTGAAATTAAAATGATTTACACCATTTTTGCATAAAGCTACATGTGCACGCCAAATATGGCACTGCACCGTAGACAAACGCCAAAATGGCGAATAATTTGACGCCTTCACTGGAGAAGATTCAGCGCCAAATTGTCTACCAATTTGGCATTTGCCGCCTTCACTGGAGGGGGTCTAATGTGGGTTGAAGATGAACTTAAAAAGTAGGGAGTTCTCTATCTCATGTTAAGTACAGTTCTCTTTTATTAAGATTAGTTAGGGTTGCTTGTTTTATATTTTAATGTATTTGTTGGTTTCTTGAACCCCTCCTATTATTTTGGACAGTTTGAGGCGGTTTATGCTTGAATGAAAATCTATTTTATTCCCAAAAAAAAAAAATGTGTATTTCAAAGTAATAATAATAATAATAATAATAATAATAATAATAATAATAATAATACGTTTGACATTTACGGAGTATTATAATGTCAGGCCACCTTGACACCTAGCTAGAGTATGAGATTGTTCCACCTACCAAGCACCACGGAGCAACTATCAGTCAGTCCACCAACCCAACTATGTATCACTTCACTTTTTTTTTTTTTTTTTTTTTTTTTTTAAACATCCTTGTTAATCCAAACATTATTGTGGGTCTTGTGATATGACCATTTTTTGTATACATCAACATATATGTTTAAATAACATTTAAAATGATGTCATTAACCACTCAAAATCCTCTTCTTTTTTTTTTTCTTTTTTTCTTTTTGGTAATAGAATCACAAGTCTTGTGAGTTTTTATAAAGTAGACTTATGCACTAGAATACTAGATCTACTTAACTCACTTAATTAAGGTTTGCCCTGAAGTAAATTTGTGATTTTTCAATTGCACTTTTTTGAATCTTGCAGGAGACTTATGTATTGATAACAATTTTATTACCAAGAAGAAAAATAGAAAATTTTGAGTAGTTAATAATGTCATTTTATTGTCATTTAAATATATTTATTGACAGGAGCACAAAAATGATCATGCCACAATAATATTAGGACCAACGGGAAGATTTGAAAAAAAAAAAAAAGACTAAAAGTTGAATAACACATAAAAATTTAGGACCAAAAAAGGAAAAAATGACTTAACACTTAAAAGTTAAAACTGAATAGACCAAAATGTAATAATATTTAACGTCATTTAAACTTTTTTTGTTGACAAAGACAAAAAAAAATGGTAATACCACAATAATACTAAGATGAAAGGGATGTTTTGAAAAAAAAAATGGAATTAACTCAATGTGATATTTATAGCCCTTTGGAGTTATAAATATGTTAGCTTTTTCTTCTTTTCCCAAATATGCATGCTAAAACATTAATTCAATATTATTTTGAAATATAAAATAATTAATATAATCCATTATTAGTTTTTTCTAATACAATCCAATATAATCAATCTATCCGTAAATTGCTAAACACCTGCTTTAATAATGCGAAGGTGCAATATGTAGGTAAAAAAAAAAAATACAAAAATATTCTTAACCGTAATAGGTGAACTAAAGTACCTACGAGGTCCCTGTACTATAACGTTTTGTTCAATTTAGTTCTTATACTTTTATTTTGTTTAATTTAGTCCCTGTACTTTCAAAAGTAGTGCAATTAAGGACAATAGTTAACGATGTTAATATTATCATTAACTTAGGTTACGTGGCACTGATGATATTTATATTCCTACTCATATATTACTTTATAAATATTTAAAATCTATCATTTTACCACCAATATATTAAATTAGTATGTCCAAAATAAATAATTACGACCATGTTTATAATGAGATTTAGACAATTGTCCTTAATTTTATCACTTTTTTAAAGTAGAGGGACTAAATTGAACAGAATAAAAGTACAAGGACTAAATTGAACAAAACACTATAGTACAGGAACTTCATAGGTACTTTGACTGGAGAAGAAGCACACAAGGTATTGATGGGAGGATTGGTACAAGTTCCGTCCAGTAGAGCCATAGAAACTAATTTATTTGCCTTTTCTGTCATGTGAAATCCATCCCACTCAATATTATCATTATGCCATGACTCACCACAACTCTTTACTGCTATATATATCACATCTTACGTGGTCGTTAAATTATTAGATAGAGTTCATTAAAAAAATTTCAAAGTTAGCTAGTACTTATCAAATTGAAGAAAAGTGCACAGTTGTACTGTTAACGTGCACAGTTTCACAGTTAGTGCAATCTAAGTCATTGAACGAAAAAAAAAAATGCAATTAGGCTATTGAACGAAAAAAATTGCAATTAGGCCACTGAACACTCCAAATGTATGCAATTTCACCTGATAGCAGGTTACATCAATTTTAGCAGGTTACCTGCTTACGTGGCAGCTGAGTTGACATTTTTAATAGTTTTTAATAATAAATTTTAATTTAAAAAAAAAACGACAGGAGGGCCGGCGGCCACCCCGCATTTAATTTTTTTTATTTAATTGTTTTTTTAATTTATTATTAAAATTTATTAAAAATTATTAAAAATACCAACTCAGCTGTCACGTAAGCAGGTAACCTGATATCTGGTGAAATTGCATACATTTGGAGTGTTCAGTGGCCTAATTGTATTTTTTTTTGTTCAGTGGTCTACTTGCATTTTCAGGTTATGTTCAATGACCAATTTGAACCTTATTCATATATATATATATATATATATATATATATATATATATATATATATATATATATATATATATATATATATATATATATATATATATATATATATTGTTAGGAATAAAGTGTAATGAGCCAAATTTGTATTTTTAGAACTCCCCTATTTTATTTTTGAGTCTTTTTTTGTAAGTTACTGGTTCTATTACATTGTAGTATCTGTTCATATACTTTCTCAACCTACTGAAACACAAAGAACCAATAACGCCTCCACTGAGGCTCGAACTCATAATCTTCCAAATGGAAGTCCAACCCGGGTACCATTAGACCACATAGTCCTGGTCCCAAGTCAAGCTATAAAGTCTACGAAATTCTTAGCAAAATATACTTATCCAGAATGTTACTATTTGAGAATTATTTACCTTGGAAACTATTAAAGGATGAAGTGGTGAAGTGGATAAGGAATAAGGTTGTTAAAGTCAGAGGTCACGTGTTCAAGTTTGAGACTCAATTGCTACATTTTTGAAAAGGAGATAAAGAAGGGGACGACCAAGAAGCAGACTCGGATTAATTTATGAATTAATCTAAAATGCTACTAAAGTCATTCTGGGAATAAAGATTAAATCTAGAAACAATGAGTTAATATGGTATAGTGGTGAAGGCGTGGAATAGAAATCATGTTGGGATTGTGTTGAAATCACATTGAAGCATATTTTTTAAAGATGACACTTGTTGAGTGCATGCTACAATGTGGACACATGTAAGGCTAAGTTGACTACAAGTTTGGAAGCTTGTTGACATGATAAGGAAGATGCACATGAATTCTTCTACACATCTTCTTTCTCATTTAAATCTCTTGCTACGTATCTCAAATCATTTCAGAAGAAGAAATGGACGAAGATATAATTTTTACTCAAGCAAGAATCAGCAGAAAATCTTTTGGAAGATTTCATCATTTTGAATCCGTCAGGATAAGGAAATTATTTTTCGGAGAAGTTTCAGCTGATGAGCCGACATATATGACTTTTGAAGAATTGTCAAGTGAGGATTTTCAAACTCACTGTAAGAAGCCCATCTCTTGCACTAAATCACCGCAATGCAAGTTGGCAATAATGTGTAGCTGATCAAGATGAACGATCAAGATCAACTTATGCTACAACGATAATATAGCTTCTTCAGCTATATATACCAGATGACTTGAAGACATGAAGCAGAGAAGGCAAGGCAATACAAAGAAGCAAAAATTTGAAATATCCAGTTTTGAGCTTTCACGAGAGATACTTCAAGTCCTTAGAAGAGAAATGTGTTTTCTCTAAATCTTACCTCTACTGTGTGTAGAAAGAGGGTTGAGTGTAGCTTTGTGCGAGACACTCGTGAGTGTAGCTTTGTGCTAGACACTCGTGGTTGCTGAATGTAGCTGTGTGCTAGACGCTCGGTGGTGCTAAGTGTAGCTATGTGCAAGACACTTAGTTGGTGTAGGAGTATAGCTTTATGCAAGATACTCGGGAGTATAGCTTTGTGCGAGATACTCGGGATTGAGTGTAGCTGTGTGCAAAACACTCGGGAAGTGCATGTGTGCACTTGATTCACTATTTGTATCTGGGTGAACGAGATAGTGAATTTCCTCCTTGGAGTGAAAGGAGAAGAGTGGACTAGGAGGATTACACTATCTCTGAACCACTATAAATTGCCTATCTCATTTACTTACTGCTTTTATTCATTATTGCATGCATACTAACCCATTTACTATTTGTCTTATTCATTTATCTTATTGATTGGGTTATGTGACTTTACAAGTGCATGCAGACACAATTCCTTTTGGATTCATCTCATTGATTCACACGTGATATTGTATACATATTGAGTAAACCATCTCTTTAAATATTTTATTGTCTTGCATATTTGACTGACCCATCTTATACTGTTCGAATTATTCATCTGGGTTTAGTAGTTTTCACGTATGCATGTGAACATAAATTTGCAAACTTATTATTTGAGCCATACCAAGCATATCCATCATATTGCATGTGATATATCTCTTTGATTTTACGTAACACTTGATTGATTAATTTTTCCGCTGCGCATCTAAGTTTCATATCTTGTTATTTAAAGTTGAAATTACCAAAGTGTTATTAATTGTGAAAAAGTTTAAAAAATCTATTCACCCCCCCCCCTCCCCCCTCTAGACTTTTTACCACCCTATCGGGACCAACATATATATATATATATATATATATATATATATATATATATATATATATATATATATATATATATATATATATATATATATATATATATATATAAGTGCACTCATGTGAGAACGGATATGATGTCCAAGAGAGGAATAACAACCAATCACAGCCGTCCACCATTCCAGATCTAACGTATCATATGTAATTAAAAAAAAAAAACGATGTAGTGACATTTTTATAAATAACTCAAACTTTAGTGCGAGTTACATATTTTAAAAATGCAAGTAACTAGTGTAAGTGTACAAGTAAAATGTGTAATGCAACTAAATATGATCAATTAAATTTAGAAGGGAAACTGATATTTTGAGAAATTATTATTTTACGAATATTTTTGAAAAAAAATTCAACACCACTCTAATTCTTAATTACATGTCCTAACAGCCGTTGTATGTGTTTTTTTTTTTTTTTTTTTAAAACCAGACCAAAGACTTTCATTAATAACTGAAAAGATTCGAAATACAATCAGGTGGGTATTCAACCCACTCTCCCGAGACAAACAAAGAACCGGTCGCCCGAGCTAAGCCATGAGCCACGCGGTTCGCTGATCTCTTGACATGCTGGACCTTAACGGACCCTATGTCACAGGCAATCGACCAACATTGCTTCACAAGAATACCAACATAAGATAAATCTAAAGAACATGAATTGAAAGCATTGCAAAAAACTAAACAATCAGACTCGAGAATGATGTTATTCTGCCGCAGATCTTTTAGCCACGTTAGCGCTTCTTTGGCTGCCAAGACCTCTGCCCATAACGCATTTGGGTTGCACTCGAGCTGTCCACACTTCGCTGCCACAAACCGCCCTTCATGATCTCGTACTACAGCTCCATAACCAGCACCATTCGTGAAAACAGCAGCGTCCACGTTGCATTTAAGGAAGTTGAGAGGTGGAGGCTGCCATTGTTCGAAGCTTCCACTCGTGACTCCCGTCGAGCACTCGACTTGAAACGCCTCTTTCCAGGCATTGCGCAGGCGCGAGATTAAATTACGCAAAGACTCCATAGTAGGAGAAATATTCCGCCACACCTTATCATTCCTTGAAAGCCAAATTGCCCAAAAGGACGCCGCAAGAGCCACTGCTCCCTCTGGGTTCGGCAATTGCAGTGTAGCCTCCATGATCTGTTGTATGGTTTGACCCTGTAATGAAGGATTCGGAATCCCAATGCCTTGTGCGTAGACGCATTCGCACAGAAGATGCTCGACAGTTTCCCTGGGAGCTTCGCATAGAGGGCAACCACCGCCTATCCAGACTCGCTTAGACCTCAAATTCTCCCGTACCGGTAAGATCCCGCGAGCGCAGCGCCACAGGAAAGATTTAACCTTGGGGGGAATTGGTAAGGACCACAAAGCATTCCAAGACTTGAAGTTTCCATCATCAGGAAGATGGGAATTTGAAGCTGTTAATAAGCGATAGCCATGTTTAACAGAGTATTTACCCGATATGTCGCCACACCATCGCCACGTGTCCTTGAACAACGGGCTGGACGGAGTTCGGATGATGCGCTGTACATCTTCATCATAAAAAAGCTCACGCAGAATATCCATATCCCAATGGCCATGGCCGTCGGTGAGGCTATGCACCGTAGCATCATGCAGATGATCGCATGGGGGAGTGTTTAGATTTGGGTTCGCTGGATCAGAGAGCCATCCCCAGCCCCATATACGAGTATCCCGGCCATCACCTATGCGTCGTCCCACACCCATTCTTAAGACCTCTTGTCCTGCCATAATGCTGCGCCAAAGGTAGCTTGGGTTGTTCCCCATAGGTGCATCAAGAAAGTCGCATCTAGGAAAATACTTGGCTTTCAAAATTCGGCTCACCAATGAAGTCGGATAAATGAGCAATCTCCAGCCCTGCTTAGCGAGGAGCGCCACGTTGAACTCATGTAATTTTCTGAATCCCAGGCCACCCTTACTCTTTGGGACACATAACCGGTTCCAGCTGAACCAATGAATACCCATGTGATCGGTACCACCACCACCCCACCAATAGCGGTTGAAAAGTTTTTCAAGTGTGTCACAAACTCGGGCTAGCAGAAGAAAAGTGGACATGGTAAATATGGGTAAAGCTTGCGCTATGCTCTTAATCAAAATCTCCTTACCAGCCTTGGATAAGAAT